GCGACAGGGAGTTGACTTCTTCCAGACCTTCTCCCCTACCCCGAAGATGACCACTCTTCGGGTACTGCTGCACGTAGCTGCTCAGCGTGACTACGAGCTCCACTCGCTTGACTTCAGCACAGCCTTCCTACAGGGCAGCCTGCACGAGGAGATCTGGCTGCGCCGCCCACCTGGCTTCACTGGGTCGTTTCCAGCTGGTACCCAGTGGAGCCTCCGGCGGCCGGTCTACGGTCTACGTCAGGCACCTCGTGAGTGGCACGACACACTCAGGACGACTCTTGATGCTCTTGGTTTTGCTCCTTCCACTTCTGACCCTTCTCTGTTCTTACGCACTGACACTACTCTGCCGCCGTTCTACGTTCTCGTTTACATAGACGACCTTGTCTTTGCTACTGCTGACACTGAGGCACTCGCCCACGTGAAGTCCGAGCTGCAGAAGAGACACACGTGCACAGACCTGGGTGAACTGCGCAGCTATCTTGGCTTGCGGATCACCCGGGACAGAGCACAGCGCACCATTACCTTGACTCAGTCACACATGGTGCAGCAGGTCCTTCAGCGCTTCGGCTTCACCTACTCCTTGCCACAGTCCACTCCTCTGCCTACCGGTCACTCGCTCTCAGCTCCACCTTCGGACGAGTCCGTAGAGCCGAGTGGCCCGTATCCAGAGCTTGTGGGCTGCCTCATGTACCTGATGACTTGCACACGACCTGACCTCGCATACCCTCTCAGCCTTCTGGCTCGCTACGTGGCTCCCGGCAGGCACCGAAAGGTGCACTGGGATGCTGCGAAGAGGGTGTTGCGATACTTGTGCAGTACATCGGGCATGGGGCTCGTGCTTGGAGGACGGGCTCGAGTTGTCCTCACTGGTCACGCTGACGCCTCCTGGGTTGACGACTTGGCTACGCAGCGGTCGTCACAGGGTTACACCTTCAGTCTTGGCTCCGGTTCTGTCTCTTGGTGGTCTACCCGCTCTTCTTCTGTTCTCAGCTCCAGTTGTGAGGCTGAGATCTACGCTGGGGCCATGGCTGCACAGGAGCTTCGTTGGCTCACCTACCTGCTGACCGACTTGGGAGAGGCGCCTCGTTCTCCTCCAGTTCTGTACGTCGACAACAAGGCCATGCTGGCCTTGTGTCAGGAGCACAGACTGGAGCACAGAACGAAGCACATTGCTCTGCGCTACTTCCTTGCTCGAGAGTTACAGCAGCGTGGCCAGCTTCGTCTTGCTTACGTGGCCTCTCAGGCCAACACTGCTGATGTTTTCACCAAGGCACTTCAGCCTTGTGATCATGAGCGTTTCTGTACTGTGTTAGGCCTTGTACCTACTGTGCCTCACTTGCTTTCTTCTTGACTCTGCTTGTACTGTACTCTTTATACATATACCTGCATGCTTACACTTGCTAGGTTGTGTTCACTGTATTGTTTGCTCTCCTTTATATAACTCTGCATGTGAACTGGCCTTGCGGTCATTTGCTTGTGCTCAGACTGCGTGGTGACTTTGTGATCCACCCTGAGCTTGCTTTGCCTTTCTTGACTGGTCTTGTGACCTCTTGTTCTCCCCCACTTTGCCTATGGGGGTGTGTCAAACTTATATGCTGTAGTCTGTTTAGGCTGTAGTGGGGTAGTCCTTACAGGGTACAACACTTTTAGGTTTCCTATATGTACCCACCTGCTTTCTAGTTCAGTCATTCATTCCGTTCACATTCTTACACAGTCGTCAGACCTCTACGGGTGGGAGTGGATTTTCTGTCCATAAAAACTGTACGCGCGCAAAAATCTGCGATCTGAGCCGTTCGAGCTGTTATACAGGCCATCCGTGTGCTTGTTACGAGCCACACAGAAAACGTTAGTGGCGGGAAAACTGCACGCCCGTCAAACAAGTACATTGTTTCCGCGGTTGAGGGAAAATATCGGCGCGAAATGATTGTTCGCACTGTTCCGAACGTGTTTCCTGGGTGGCGTAATGATTATTAAGGGAAGTCAGTTGTATTTCTCGCCTGGGGCAGAAACCGTCAGTAATCGAAAAACTCGTAAAAACCTACAAAATGAGTATTGATGGCCAAAACTGTCAGAATGTTATAGTGCTTACATTTGTGTAGGCTATAGTGGGGTAGCCCATAAGGGGTACAACCCAATTAGGGTTAGTACTTGTACCCAACTCTTTCATAGTTCATTCATTCTCGTTCATTCTTCTGACATGGTTTCAGAGCAGGTCCTTCGTTAGGACCGTTTTTTTTTTTGGCCCACCACAGCGCTGCCCCGCTAGCCGCCCTCTGCAGCCCTCGTGCTGCCCCTACTGCCCCGCGCGCCCCGTCGACCCTAGGCCCAGGCCCGCCCGTTGCCCCTAGGCCCCGCGCGCCCGTCAACCCCTAGGCCCCGGTGCGACCCGTCGACCCCTAGACCCCGGCCCCCCGTCGACACCTAGGCCAGGCCCGCCCGTCGACCCCTAGGCCCTGGCCCGCCCGTCGCCCCTAGGCCCCGGCGCGACCCGTCGACCCCTCTGCCCGGCCCGCTCGTCGACCCCTAGGCCCCGGCCCCCACGTCGACCCCTACGCCCGGCCCGCCCGTCGAACCCTAGGCCCCGGCCCCCCGTCGACCCCTACACCAGGCGCGCCCCGTCGACCCCTACACCAGGCGCGCCCCGTCGACCCCTAGGCCCCGGCCCCCCGTCGACCCCTAGCCCCTACAGGCAGCGCGCCGCCTGCTTGCGGCCCGCCAGCATGTCAAGAGAATGAACGAGAATGAATGAACTAGCAAAGAGTTGGGTACAAGTACTAACCCTAACTGGGTTGTACCCCTTTATGGGCTACCCCACTATAGCCTACACAATATAAGCTATATAACATTTTGACACACCTCCATGGGAAAAATGTGGGGGAGAACAAGTGGTCACAAGATCAGTCAAGAAAGCAAAGCAAGCTCAAGGTGGATCACAAAGTCACCACACAGTTCGAGCACAAGCAAAGGGCCACAAGGCCAGTTCACATGCAAAGTTATATAAAAAGAACAAACAATACAGTGATCATACCCTAGCAAGTGTAAGCATGCAGGTATGTATATAGATCACAGTACAAGCAGAGTCAAGCAGTGAGCAAGTGAGGCAAAATAGGCACAAGGCCTAACACAGTAGAGAAGCCCTGATGATCACCAGGCGGAAGTGCCTTGGTGAATATATCAGCAGTGTTGGCCCTAGTGGCCACGTACGCAAGACGAAGCTGGCCACGCTGCTGCAACTCTCGAGCAAGGAAGTATCGCAGAGTGATGTGCTTCGTTTTGTGCTCCAGTCTGTGCTCTTGACACAAGGCAATCATGGCCTTGTTGTCTACGTACAGAACTGGAGGCGAACGAGGCTGCTCTCCCAAGTCAGTCAGCAGGTAGGTGAGCCAGCGTAGCTCCTGTGCAGCCATGGCCCCTGCGTAGATCTCAGCCTCACAACTGGAGCTGAGAACTGAAGACGAGCGGGTAGACCGCCAGGAAACAGAGCCGGAACCAAGGCTGAAGGTGTAACCCTGTGACGACCGCTGCGTAGCTGAGTCGTCTACCCAAGAGGCGTCCGCGTGACCAGTGAGGACAACTGGACCCCGTCCTCCAAGCACGAGCCCCATGCCCGACGTACTGCACAAGTAACGCAGTACCCTCTTCGCAGCATCCCAGTGCACCTTTCGGTGCCTACCGGGAGCCACGTAGCGAGCCAGAAGGCTGAGAGGGTACGCGAGGTCAGGTCGTGTGCACGTCATCAGGTACATGAGGCAACCCACAAGCTCTGGGTACGGACCACTCGGCTCTACGGACTCGTCCGAAGGTGGAGCTGAGAGCGAGTGGCTGGTAGACAGAGGAGTGGGCTGTGGCGAGGAGAACTGGAAGCCGAAGCGCTGAAGGACCTGGTGCACCATGTGTGACTGAGTCAGGGTGATGGTGTGCTGTGTTCTGTCCCAAGTGATCTGCAAGCCAAGATAGCTGCGCACTTCACCCAGGTCAGTGCAGGTGTGTCTCTTCTGCAGCTCCGACTTCACAAGGGTCAGTGCCTCAGTGTCAGCAGTGGCAAAGACGAGGTCGTCGACGTACACGAGGACGTAGAACGGCGGCAGCGAGGTGTCGGTGCGTAGAAACAGCGACGGGTCAGCAGTAGAAGGAGCAAACCCAAGAGCCGCAAGTGTAGTCCTCAGTGTGTCGTGCCACTCGCGAGGCGCCTGGTGTCAAGATAGGTAGCTTAGTAGGAAGGAATGAGTTGGATTTGGGCAAGGAGGGGGGATACAATGAAGTGTCGAGCAATTTACTGTACCCCCTAAGGCTAAACCCACTACAGCCTAGATAGCAGTAAACTTATAATTTGACACACCCCCATAGGTGAAGTGGGGGATAGCAAACACAACAAAGCAGTCACAAGACCAGTCAGGAGAAGAAACAAAGCAAAGCAAGCTCAGGGTGGATCTCAAGATCACGCACTCTGAGCACTTGCAAGCGGCCACAAGGCCAGTCCAAGAGGTTACATAAGATATATATTTGCGAGTACAAGCAGAGCAAGGCTACGGCAGACGAGCAAAAAGGTCTACAAGCCACTGCCTCACCCTCCCCCCACAGTGGCACGCGCGGCCGTGAGAGAGAGAGGAGGAGGGGCGGCTACTGGCTCCTCATACCCGCCACCCCCATACCCTCCAAGATCCCGCCACCCCCATACCCCCCAAGATCCCGCCACCCCCATACCCCCCCCCCCCCCCCTGCTGCACTCGCAGCAGGGGGATGGAGGAGAAGGGGGGGGGGGGGGGGCGGGGGGGCGGGTGCTGCAGAGCCCCTCCCCCCCACTGCTGCACCCCTAGCAGAGGGATGGAGGAGAAGGGGAGGGGGGGGGGGGGGGGGGGGGGGGGGGGGCGGGGGGCACTCACGAGGGGGCGTAAGGGGCACTCACGAGGGGGTGCGGGGGGGGGGCACCCACGAGGGGGTGCAAGGGGCACTCACGAGGGGGTGTAAGGGGCACTCACGAGGGGGTGCGAGGGGCACCCATGAGGGGGGTGCGAGGGGCACTCACGAGGGGGTGCAAGGGGCACTCACGAGGGGGTGCAAGGGGCACCCACGAGGGGGTGCGAGGGGCACTCACGAGGGGGTGCAAGGGGCACTCACGAGGGGGTGCAAGGGGCACTCACGAGGGGGTGCAAGGGGCACTCACGAGGGGGTGCGAGGGGCACCCACGAGGGGGGTGCGAGGGGCACTCACGAGGGGGTGCAAGAGGCACTCACGAGGGGGTGCGAGGGGCACCCACGAGGGGGTGCAAGGGGCACTCACGAGGGGGTGCCAGGGGCACTCACGAGGGGGTGCGAGGGGCACCCACGAGGGGGGTGCGAGGGGCACTCACGAGGGGGTGCGAGGGGCACTCACGAGGGGGTGCAAGGGGCACTCACGAGGGGGTGCGAGGGGCACCTACGAGGGGGTGCGAGGGGCACTCACGAGGGGGTGCAAGGGGCACTCACGAGGGGGTGCGAGGGGCACCCACGAGGGGGTGCGAGGGGCACTCACGAGGGGGTGCAAGGGGCACTTACGAGGGGGTGTGAGGGGCACCCACGAGGGGGTGCAAAAGGCACTCACGAGGGGGTGCAAGGGGTACTCACGAGGGGGGGCGAGGGGCACCCACGAGGGGGGTGCGAGGGGCACTCACGAGGGGGTGCAAGGGGCACTCACGAGGGGGTGCGAGGGGCACCCACGAGGGGGTGCGAGGGGCACTCACGAGGGGGTGCAAGGGGCACTTATGAGGGGGTGCGAGGGGCACCCACGAGGGGGTGCGAGGGGCACTCACGAGGGAGTGCAAGGGGCACTCACGAGGGGGTGCGAGGGGCACCCACGAGGGGGTGCGAGGGGCACTCACGAGGGGGTGCAAGAGGCACTCAGATACCCTCCTCCCACTGCTGCACCCGCAGCAGGGGGATGGAGGAGAAGGGGGGGGGGGGGGGCGGTGTAGAAGCTACTCGGGCAACAGCAGTGCGCGCGACGGGCAGGAACCCGTCATTCGCCACCCCCGCCACCCCCATACCCTTCCCCCCCCCTGCTGTACGATCAGCAGGGGGACGGAGGAGAAGGGGGGGGGGGGGGGGGGGGGACGGTGCAGGGGCTGCGTGGGCGACCGCAGGTCGCACGAAAAACATCCGCCACCCCCTCACACCCTCTCCCCCACTCCCCCCACAGCAGCAGGCGCAGCCGTGAGAGGGGAGGAGGCGTGACAGCAGCTGCTGCTGCTGAGGCACATCCGCCACCCCCTCACACCCTCTCCCCGCAGCAACAGACGCGGCCGTGAGAGAGGAGGAGGCGTGGCGGCAGCTGCTGCTGCTGAGGCACATCCGCCACCCCCTCACACTGCAGGGCGGGGAATGAGCTGCGCGTGCGACTGCAGGGCACGCGGGCAGGAAGAAACCGTCGCGCGCTCAAGGCGTGCGACGGGTAGAAACCGACGGGCTAGGGGCCGGGGCCTAGGGGCGTCGAGCGACGGGGCCGGGCCTAGGGGAGCGACGGGCGACTGGGCCGACGGGCCTAGGGGCGTTGGGCGACGAGCCGGGCCTAGGGGAGACGGGCCGTGGCGACAGGCCTAGGGGCGACAGGCCGGGGCGACGGGCCGAGGGGCAACGGACGACGGGCGACTGGCCGGGGCCGGGGCCTAAGGGCGACGGGCCGAGGGGCGACGGGCTAGGGGCCGGGGCCTAGGGGCTTCGGGCGCGAGCGACGGGCGACAGGGCCGGGGCCTAGGGGCGACGGGCCAGCCTAGGGACGACGGGCCTAGGGGCGACGGGCCGGGGCCTAGGGGCTACGGGCGACGGGCCGTGCCGAACGTCGAGAGTAGGGCCGCACGAGGGCGGCGCGCAGGGCAGCAGGTTGTGGGCCCAAGGGTCGTAACTACTCTAATACCATGCCAAGATAGGTAGCTAAGTAGGAAGGAATGAGTTGGATTAGGGCAAGGAGGGGGGATACAATGAAGAGTCGAGCAATTTACTGTACCCCCTAAGGCTAAACCCACTACAGCCTAGATAGCAGTAAACTTATAATTTGACACCTGGCGGAGACCGTAGACTGGCCGCCGGAGGCTCCACTGGGTACCTGCAGGAAACGACCCAGTGAAGCCAGGTGGGCGGCGCAGCCAGATCTCCTCGTGCAGGCTGCCCTGCAGGCTGTGCTGAAATCCAGAGAGTGCAACTCGTAGTCACGCTGAGCAGCGACGTGCAGCAACACCCGAAGAGTAGTCATCTTCGGGGTGGGGGAGAAGGTCTGGAAGTAGTCAACCCCCTGTCGCTGACTGAAGCCTCGAGCAACGTAACGCGCCTTGAAGGCAGGCGGAGAACCCGGCGGCCGCTTCACCCTGAAAATCCACATGCCATCGACTATGTTCGCCCCAGGTGGGGGAACCTCGTCGACGTAGGTGCCTGTGGACTTCCAGGATGCCATCTCAGCATCCATGGCTGCCTGCCACTAAGAGGAGTAAGGACCCGTAATCGCCTCTGCGTAAGAGCGCGGGGTCGGGATGTCTGGTGCATCTGGGTCTCCCTCAGGCGCAGGCAGCATGGAAGCGAAACGAGGTACAGCAGCTGCAAGACACTCAAAGTCCTCTTGCCTGTCCTCAAGGACGTCCGTGCCAAGAGCACACTCACCCCCGACGGACGGAGGACTGGCAGACGCAGACTCAGCAACAAGAGCAGTGGCGTAGTCTAGACGACAGGCAGCAGCAAAGTCAAGCAGCTCAGCAACGAGGGCAGACGCAGCAGCAGACTCAAAAGAAGGGTCACTGACAGTAGTGGCGAGGAGACGAGAGACAGTGGGCAATAGCACAAGCGCGGTCAGACTCAGGGTCAGGGATGGCAGGAAGAGAGGACTCAGGAGGAGCAGGCAGAGGAACACGCAGTGGAACAGAGGAGGGACGAAGTGCCATAGCGTGCGTGCTGGGGACAGAAGGAGGACGCGAACGAGGAACGCGACGAGCAGTGCGAACAGGCAAGGCAAGACGAGACGCAGGCTCACGACGCTCTGTAAGACCGTCGGACTGCTCAGTGTAAGGAGAAGGAGCAGGCAGTGGAGAGGCCGGCTCTAAAGGCGGCTGCGACTGGTCAGGCGGTGGACATAGGAGGGGACATCAAGAACCTGCCAAAGCAAGGGAACGAAGTACGGTCGCGGCCGCACAGTGCCGCCAGGGTCAACAGCTCCAGCTCCTCCAGCTCCAGCTGTCAAACATTATACATGTTCATATTGTGTAGGCTATAGTGGGTTTAGCCTTAGGGGGTACAACATTGCTAGGGTTTCCTACTTGTATCACCCTGCTGCCTAGTTTCACACATTCTCGTTCAGTTCTACATTCTAACATGGTATCAGAGCTGCTGGGGACCCTGCTGCTGCTGGCGGTGCTGCTGGAGCTGCTGGGACTGGCCCTGCTGAGGGGGTTGGAGCTGGAGGTGCTGAGCGGCCACGGCCGTACTACGTTCCGCTCCTTCAGCAGGTTCTTGGCCTTCCGCCCTCTCCTGGTCCTACTCCTCCCCTACTGAGTCCACCGCTTGTCCAGTCGCAGTCACAGTTACAGCCAGTCTCTCCACTTCCTGGTCCTTCTCCCTACACTGCGCCGACGGGAGGTCTTACGGAGCGTCGTGAGCCTGAGTCTCGTCCTCCGTCGCCTGAGACTCGTCCAGAGTCGTCTGAGTCGCGTCCAGAGTCGCCTGTCCGCGCTGTCCGCGCTGGTCGTCGTGTTCCACGCCAGCGTCCTCCTCCTGTCCTTGGCACTCACTATATGACCATGCGTCCCTCTACTGCTCCACAGCGTGTCCCACTGCCGTCTCCACCACCGTCCTCTCTTCCTGCTCTTGCTGACCCGGAGTCTGACTCTCTTCGTGCTGCCAGTCCTACTGTCACGCGTCTCCTTGCCACTGCTGTCACTGACCCTTCCTTTGAGTCCTCTGCTGCGTCTGCTCTAGTCGCTGAGCTTGTTGACTTTGCTGCTGCCTGTCGTCTAGACTACGCCGCTAGCCTTGTTGCTGAGTCTGAGTCTGAGTCTGTCTGTCCTCCGTCTGTCGGGGGTGAGTGTGCTCTTGGCACGGACGTCCTTGAGGACAGACAGGAGGAGTTTGAGTGCTTTGCCGCTGCTTTGCCTCATCTCGTGTCCATGCTAGTTGCCCCTGAGGGAGACCCGGATGCACCAGACATCCCGACCCCACGCTCCTACGCAGAGGCGATGGAGGGTCCCTACTCCTCTCAGTGGCAGACAGCCATGGACGCAGAGATGGCTTCCTGGAAGTCCACAGGCACCTACATCGACGAGGTTCCCCCACCTGGGGCGAACATCGTCAGTGGCATGTGGATTTTCAGGGTGAAGCGGCCGCCGGGTTCTCCGCCTGTCTTCAAGGCGCGTTACGTTGCACGAGGCTTCAGTCAGCGAGAGGGAGTTGACTTCTTCCAGACCTTCTCCCCGACCCCGAAGATGACCACTCTTCGGGTTCTGCTGCACGTCGCTGCTCAGCGTGACTACGAGCTCCACTCTCTTGACTTCAGCAGCTGCCTCCTGCAAGCTAGTACGGCCCTCGAGCCGCCCCTGCAGGTCCGTCAGGCCCCCGAGCCGTCTCTGCAGACCCGTCAGGCCCCCCCAAGCCGCCTCTGCAGGCCCGTCAGGCCCGAGAGCCGCCCCTGCAGCCAGCGCGCTGCCCTGCCGAGCCGCGTGTCGCCCGTGGGCGCTGCCTCTGCCCCGTCGCGCTGCCCTTGGGAGCCGCGAGCGACCCCCGCTGTCCCGTCGCGTCGCCCTGGGGAGCCGCGCTCGGCCCCCGCTGCCCTGTCGCGACGCCCTGGGGAGCTGCGCTCGGCCCCCGCTGCCCTGTCGCGACGTCCTGGGGAGCCGCGCTCGGCCCCCGCTGACCCGTCGCGACGCCCTAGGGAGCCACGCGCGACCCCCCCGCTGCCCCGTCGCGACGCCCTGGGGAGCCGCGCGCGCCCCCCCCCCCCCCCCCCCCCCCCCCCCCCCGCTGCCCCGTCGCGGCGCCCTGGGGAGCCGCGCGCCGCCCCCCCCCCCCCCTCGCTGCTGCCCGAGCCACCCTGCAGCCCGCGAGCCGCCTCTGCAGCGCCGAGTGCGCTCTGCCAAACCCTAAAATAAATAATTAATTTAAAAAAAAAAAAAAAAAAAAAAGGGAGCAGCTGCCCCTGGCCCCTGGAGCAGCCGCCCCTGGAGCAGCCGCCCCTGCAGCGCCCCTGCAGCAGCCGCCCCTGCAGCAGCTGCCCCTGCAGCAGCCGCCCCTGGACCTCTGCAGCCGCCCCTGGCCCCTGGAGCAGCCGCCCCTGCAGCTGCCGCGGAGCCCTCGCCCTGCAGTGGTAGCGGCCTCGCCGTTACCACCGTCGTACGCCTGCCCTTCTCGCCACTGGTGAGCACTGCCCTGCCCGTATTGCTGTTACTGCTGCTCCTGCTGCTACTGCTCTTTCTACTTCTACTGCTGCTCCTGGCGTGGCCAGATGCAGCTCCAGCGCCGTCCGCGTGAGTCCCTCACGCCCCAACAGCTTCGTGAGTGGTATGCTGGTTGGGGTTGTAGGGGTGGCCGCGCTGCTGCTACTACTACTGCTGCTACTACTGCTACTGCTGCTCCTGGCGGTGGCCAGATGCAGCTCCCGCGACGTCCGAGTGAGTCCCTCACGCCCCAGCAGCTTCGTGAGTGGTACGCTCAGCGTGGAGGGTCACGGGGTACTGCTCGCTGCCCGTACGTCATTCGCACTGGTGCTCGGACTGGTCAGCCTTGCGGGACGTTTGGTCACACAGAGTCCCGCTGCTTCGCCCGTCTGAGCGACGCCTGGCGTACAGAGTTTGGCGACGCGGCTGAGCTCCCCGACTGGGTGGAGCTGCTTAGGCAGAGGGTAGATATCTATGCTCTTGACTATGATGCTATCCTCACTGCCATGTATGCATTTCCTACTAGTGCTGAGAGTGCCTGTCACCTGTGTGTGCCGCCTGACCCC